CCTCCTCCTCCTCCTCCTCCTCCTCCTGGAGCCCGCCGCGGCGGAGCCGAGCGCCGGCCGTGCCGCGGCGCCGCCTTCTGCTGCACGTCGGCGGAGCCGCGCTCGTAGCGCTCCGTCTCCGCCTGGCTGACGCGCGCGCGCAGGCGCGGAGCTCGCGATCCGCGGCGTCATCTAACCCAGCAGCGAACGATGATTTACAACAGTATAGGTCGGGAAGAAAAATGAAACAAGTCCAAAAATACCCAGAAATAGACAACAATAGTCGAAAAATCGTCCCCCGACTCTCTTCTGACTATTGTTGAACATCCTGCCTGTGGAGGGACAGGCCCGACTCAGCACCAGCACAGGACAGCACTCCACGGAGCACCTTGGAACAGACACACACACACACACACACACACACACACACACACAGCACACACACACACAGCACACACACACACACAGCACACACACACACACACACACACACACACACACACACACACGCACACACACACACACACAGCACACACACACACAGCACACACAGTACCTGACCACAGGTTCCACGGAGCACTTCGGAACAGACACACACACACACACAGCAGCAGCACACAGCACACACACACACACACAGCACACACACACACACAGCACACACATACAGCACACACAGCACACACAATGCCTGACCACAGGGTCCACATCTGCGACTGAGGGTCCCGGCCCGCCCGCACCGGCCGTCCAGGCCCCGCCCCCTGGCGGACTCAGGCGCGCCTCGCCTCGCCTCCATCGTTCGAGCATGGGCTCGACTACAGAATTGCTTTACCCCAAGATTGATTTTTCGTCGACTTCATGGGAAATGCGACGTCGCTACTGTAGATTCGACGAGGAGATCCCTTGTGGAGTGAATCCGTTCTCTAGTCGATCCCCTGCTCGAATCCTCATCTCTCCTCATCCTCGCCAACACCCCCTGTTCTGCCACCCACAGAGAGGGCGCAGGCAGGCCAGGATGGTCCTGGCCAGAGGCGCCTCAAGATGACGGGAGCCACGCGACGCTCCAGGCGCAAGCGAGGCCAAAGCAGAGGAGGGAAGAGAGAGAAGGAGGGAGGACAGTTCTGTAGTTCAAGCACGCGCGGGCCGCCCCACGGGGTCTCCCCAGACGAGAAGCACCCCAGCAAAGTGGGCACAAGGATACCAGAACCCTCCGTGCCAGTCTTCCGGACCCCAAGAGGCCCCCAAGACTTTCCAAGAGCGCCCCAAAGCGCTGAACGATCGGCCCAAGACGCCCAAGATCACCTCCAGTCGGCCGAGAAGGCGACCAAGACGTCCCAAAAGAGGCCTCCAAGTGCATTCCCAAGAGGGCCCCGAGAAGCCAGAACCATAGATTCCCCGTTGGTTCTCAGTGTTCCGACGCTGGTTTTCAGTGTTCCTCGCAGATTCCCCGTAGGTTCTCGTAGATTCCTCGTTGTTTCTCAGTGTTCCTCGTAGATTCCCCGTTGGTTCTCGTAGATTCCTCGTTGGTTCTGGTAGATTCCTCGTTGGTCCCGTTGTTCTCAGTGTTCCTTGTAGATTCACCGTTGATTCTCAATGTTCCCCAGGGGTTCTCCGCTTTCCGAGCTTTCGACGCTCCATGACGTCCCCAGCGCGAGGCCCCCAGAAACAAAGAGGTGCGCCCCCAGGGCTGCAGAAGCATCGTTTCGGCGCACCCTTTACGCATGTCCTCGCTGACATTATTCTGGGACGCGTAAAAATACGAGTGAGCAACGCATTCGTGGCTACGACAAGACCATTTCGCCGCCCACCCGCCACGCTTTTTCTGATCCATACTCTACCTGGACACGAGAAAATAAGAGTGGTCTGCGCTCCGAGGACCACAAAAGGTCAATTCTACACACCCCTCGCGCACTTCCTGCCTCACACTCTACTGGGGCACTTGAAAATACGATAGATATGCGCTCTCCGGCGCCTGGAGCACGTAAAGAAAATTAGTGGTTTGGGCCTCAAGGCTCATGGGAGACGTAAGAATGCGAGAGTTGCCCCTCCATTTGGACGAGAACCTCAATCCTAGAAGCTTCGCGTAACCCCACCAGCCATCCAGGAACGATGCCCAGACGAGTTGCCCTCATCAGGGATGTGGAGGAGAATGCAGTGAAGTAAACTGCTGGATAAGCCGTCGCACCCAAAGAGGGGGAGGATGGAGGAGGAATCGGAGGAGGAGGAGGAGCAGGAGGAGGAGGGGGAGGGGCAGGAGGAGGGGAAGGAGGAGGAAGGAGGAACAGGCGGATGAGGAAGAGGAGAAAGTAGGAGGGCGAATAGAAAAGCCAGAAGCATTTTGCATGCCTCTCGGAATCTCTTTGGATTTATTTCGCGAGCTTCTTGGAGTCCTCTTGGGGCGTCTTGGGGGTCACTTTGCAGTCCCGAGAGCCTTTTGAAGCGTCTTGGGTGCCTCTGGAGGCCCCTTGGAGCCTCTGTGGGGTCTCTTGGGAGCGTCTTGGGGACATGTTGGCGCCTCTTGGGGGCCTCCTCGGGCATCCTGGGCACCTCGTCGGGCCCTCTTGGGGCACCCTGGAGAGCCTCGGGGGCCATCTTGGGCCATCTTGGAGGAGGCCAGGCAGAGGGCGATCCTTAATTAGGGCACCCCCTTACCAGGAGGCCAAACTGTGGTCTGACACTTGATACAATCAACGATTGGGACCTTCTCGCCGAGGCATCATTGGGCATGTTGGGCGCCTCTTGGGGATCTCTTCGGGTCTCCTGGACACCACTTGGGGCCGTCTTGGGCACCCTCGAGACCCTCGGGGACCATTTTGGAGCCATCTTGCAGGAGGTCGATCCAAAGGATAAGCCGTACCCATATAAGGCCCCCCCCAGAAGCCAAAATGTGACTAAAACCATCGTAAGAGGGGGGCGTACAAACCCCTCCCCGGAAGGGAAAAAAGAAGATGGAAGAGGAACTCGCTGAACCCCCCCCGCAAAAGGGCTGGTGGGATTAAGCACACTCCTCACGCACCTCGTTGACGTTGGGCGCCCAGCTGGCCCCGCAGACTCAGACGGCTCAGGGGAGGTTATAGTCGGGGCGCCCCTCACGCATTTCGTTACCCATGGACACCCAAAAAAACCGTCCGACCCCACACGGAACGCCAACATGGCCCCAAGAAACATTGCAACGATTGGTACCGATCCTCGTCGAAGCAGGATTCCTGACACCGACTGATTGCAAAATCTGCGTGCGAACTTCCCCCTGGGGGCCCGCCAGGACTCCCACCCTGCGGGCTCAATAGGCATCAGATTCCGTCGCCAGCCTTCCTCGCCTCCAGTCTCCTATCCGCTGCCAGTTTGAATGCCACGGCTCAGGAGGCGCCTCGGGCAGGTCGGCGCGGCACAGGCTGAGGCACACCTCGGGCGGGAAGAACGCGAAAAATAGTCTGGATGAGAAGCTGGGCGTGCTGGAAGAGCACCAACAACCCAATGAAGATGAGGGCGCGCAAGAGGGGAGGTGAAAAAAGAGAAACTGCTGCAAAATAACAACTAGGGGAAATTAAAGCGAGCACAGAACAAACGATGTATACATGCTTGCATGTCTGATCCTGTAAAATTACCAAATCCATCCAGAAACGCATAGCCACACACACACACTCTCACACACACACACACACTCACACACGCACACATTTTGGCGTTGCGGCCTTGTGCACGGCGACAGCTCGTAGAAGGTCAGAGAACAGCGAAGCGCGCGCGTCTAAGCCCGCCATAACATTCAGAGACCACTTAAGACCTCGAAGCCGGCACCCATAATCATCCTGGCATGGATGGTGGGGAGGGGGAGTGAGCAGACGAGACTACGGCGAAATAAAGGGTGACACAAGCCAACCGGGACTGGAAGGCGGGGGGAACGAGTAAGAAGAATGGACCGTCAAGGAGAAAAAAGGAACGCAGCGGTAGCCGCTGCAAGCGTCGAGCCGCAAAAATCGCAGGCTGAAGAAGCCGCGAAAGCCGGCAAAGCCAGGCGGCGCGCCGGAACACATACACACACACACACACACACCTTTTGGAGTCGCGGCCCTGCGCACGGCGACTACCCTCCTCATTCTCGACGTTGCCGTCGTCGTCATTGTTGTCAGTACCAACGCAATCCCCGAATTACTCGTCATCGAAATTGTCGTCATCACCACCTGGGATACACACCCATACCTATTCTGCCCAGGCACTTCCCAGATTGGTGCATACACCATCACGGCTTGGCCAGGACTTGGAACAATCGCTCATATGACGTCTCGGCGCAGAGGAGACACGGAGTACGGGGGAAGAGACAGATGGAGCAGCAGGAGGAGCGGGCGGAAGAGAAGGAGAGCGACAACTGTGTGGCTTTAAAACGGTTGGCATACGGTCCAACCGATCTGACACAGACCTTCCATCCAAGGCACAACTACTAATGCTAACTCTGACTGGCTGACGTGCACATCGGCCCGGAGGCCGCCCCGAGGCGGACCAATCGGATGAAGCGAAACGTCAACTGCGCTCGTCTCGAAGGCGGCTCGGGTCGATTCGGCGAGACACTTCCAGCGCTCAGAAAGCCGTGATGTTGTGACCTGCTGGCTCACGACGGCAACGCGCCACCAAAAAAGCGATGTGGACAGGCCCACTGCACTTCGCAAGCCTGCAGAACCGTGCACTCGCTGGCTGGCGTGGACAATGCAGAAGTAATGTTCCACGATGGGTACCGCCAGCGGCGCAGCCGTCGTGGAAGATCTGCCGAAACGCGGAGAGCCCCAACGCCGACGGTCAACCCCCAGTCCTTCATGCCATGACTTCTCAGGCCAGCTTGCACCAGAACTGCGTAGAAGTGGAAGCGGCCAGGAATCATCCTCCTCACCCCTCCACCCGCCCGCCCCTTCTCCCTGCCCTCCTTCACTTGGTCTCTCTCTCCTCATCCCCCCGATGGGAACTTTGCATGCGCTCTGACGTAGGAAATAGGAGCGGAACTCTATACACCGACGCGTTTTTGTGGCCCCGCA